AGGAAACATGGAAATATTAAATGTCTGCTTAAGTAACACTTAAAAAAAAACACTTAAAATTTTTGATAGCCATTGTCAGGTTGCTTTTTATAGATGATGTCGTACCAGTTTTCTAAATAACAATAATATATGAGAGTACCCGTTCCCCAAGTTTTTGCTCATATTATATATTATTTTTATATGTTATTAAAAATTTAGAGGCTGGGCGCAGTGGCTCACGCCTGTAATCCTAGCACTCTGGGAGGCCGGGGCGGGCGGATTGTCTGAGCTCAGGAGTTCGAAACCAGCCTGAGCAAGAGCGAGACCCCATCTCTACTAAAAATAGAAAGAAATTAATCAGACAACTAAAAATATATAGAAAAATTAGCCGGGCATGGTGGCGCATGCCTGTAGTCCCAGCTACTCGGGAGGCTAGGGCAGGAGGATCGCTTGAGCCCAGGAGTTTGAGGTTGCTGTGAACTAGGATGATGCCACGGCACTCTAGCCCGGGCAACACAGTGAGACTCTGTCTCAAAAAAGAAAAAAAAAAAAAACATTTAGAGTCTGTCAGTCAATATGTAAAAATGGTATATTAATATAGTCCTAATATTCATTAATTTTGTGAACAAAGTTGAATTTCTTTTTATGTTTTAGTGCTATTTGTGTTTCCTTTTTTGGTCGTTGCCTTTGCCCAAATTTCCTTTTTTAAAATTTTTTTCAGGAAGTTATTTGTATTGTATTATGATACGAATTGCAAGATGGCTGCAGTGGCTTTTCTATAATCCCAGCATGTTGGGAGGCTAAGGGAGGGGGATCTCTTGAGGCCAGGAGTTCAAGACTAGCTTGGACAATATAGTGAGATTCTGTCTCTCCAAAAAAAAGCCAGGCATGGTGGCATGTGCCGGTAGTCCCAGCTACTCAGAAGGCTGAGGCAGGAGGGTTGCTTGAGCCCAGGAATTTGAAGTTACAGTGAGCTATGACCAGGCCACTGCACTCCAGCCTGAGTGACAGAGTGAGATCCTGTCTCTAAATAAATAAATACTTGAATGAATGAATGAATTACAAATGATTTTTCCTAGTGGTGTATCATTTACCTTTTGATTTTATTATTTTTTGTGTATAGAATTTTTAATTATTATACAGTTAAATTTATCGATATGAAGTCCAGAAGTCTTAAAACAAAGTCTTAGAAAACCTTTTACCACTTGAGGTTATAAAATATTTTCTCCATTATTTCATTCAATGCTTTTATGACTTCAGTTTTACATTTAAGTCTTTGATCCATTTGGAAATTTATTGTGGTATGATGGATTGATCTATTATTTTTTCAGATATCTCAATCTAGCTGCCCGTAAACTTTTAATTAAATGTCCTTTGTCTCATTTAGTTGTTACGTTTATCCTATAGTAATATACAAATATATATAATTATTACATTATAAAATATTATAATAATTATAACAACTATCACTACCAACAGTGCCAGCCAAGCATTGTTAGAAGGACCTTTTTTTTTTCTGGGCTGGGCTTCGCTCTGTTGCTCTGGCTAGAATGCAGTGTTGTCATCAGCTCACTGCAGCCTCTAACTCCTGGGCTGGGCTTAAGCGATCCTCCTGCTTCAGTCTCCCAAGTAGCTAGGAGTGCATGCCACCATGCCCAGCTGATTTTTCTAATTTTTTGTAGAGACAGGGTCTCGCTATTTTGCTCAGGCTGGTCTTGAACTCCTGACTTCAAGCTGTCCTCCCACCTTGGCCTCCCAAAGTGTTGGTATTATAGGAGTGAGCCACTGTGCCTGGCCAGAAGCACCTTATTCATGTAAATGTTTTCACCATTTTATAAAGTACTCTTATTTAAAAAAAAAACAAAAACAAAAAAAACAGACAACCCTCCCCTCCCCAAATATATCCACAAGGAAACTTGAGGGTTAATGAAGTAAAGTAACTTGCCCAGAGTCATGCAGCTAGTAAGTGGTGAAGCGGAAATTAGAAATGTGGATTTAAGACTTCTGGAGCAAGGTGATCTTGCTCCACAGTTACCCCTCTTAATCACTAAGCCCCTCTCTGCCAAATTCCCATGACTATTTTCATCAAAAACATTGAGTTTTAGTCTGTTCATTTGTCCTTATTACTATATTGTTTTAATATTCAGTAGGGCTGTGCCTTTCCTATTACTCTTCTTTTTCAGAAAATATTTTAGCTATTACTAAAATTTTTCTCTATGAAATTTATAATTACCTTGTTTTGTATCCCCCAGTGACCCCCAGTCCCACATACCCACTGATCTGATTTCTGTCCCCATAGTTTTACCTTTTCTAGTCTGTTATATAAGTAGAACTACACAATAGGTAGCCATTTGCCTCTGACATTCGTTATTTGGCATAATGCTTTTGACACTGATTCATATTGTTAACTGTATCAGTAGTTCCATTACCAAATTCTTTTCTTATTTTTAGTAACTTTTCAGTTGACGCTCTTGGGGTTTTCAGATATATATTATATTATCTAAAAATAATTATAATTTAAATTCCTACTTTCTGATTTTTATGTTGCCTTCTTTTGACTAAATGTGACTTCTGTGTCTCCAGAATAATATTAAGTGATAGTGATGATAGTACATCCTAGTCTTTTTCCTGTCTTTTGTGAGAATCTTTCCATTTTTCCTCTTTGGGCATAACTCTGGGTTTTCAGATGTGTAAGACTTTTCTTAATTAAAATAAGTCTTTCTAATTAATAAATATAGAAAATGTGATGGAAATATAAACCCACCATTTGGCAGATGGCTGAGTAGTAACAGCCACAGGCAAGATCCATCAATGGATGCCTAAATGTGTGATGAGAAACAAAGTCTTTGTATAGTCTCAAAGTATTCTCCTCAAGATACTTAAATAACTTCGAAATGAAAAATAGTAACTTTAAGATGGAAAAATCTGATAAACACCACCTTAAACAGTGATCAAAAATAACATCACCAAAAGTTAGACATGTTGACTTCAGATACCATCTGAAATGATACACTGAGAATGGCACATATCACTTCTGGGGTATTCTTGCCAAAAATGCATAACATAAAAAAAATTCAGATTGGGAGACATTCTATAAAATAATTGGCAAGTACTCTTCAGAAGTGTCAAAGTCATGAAAGTCAAAGAATGCCTATACAACTGTCTCAGGTTGGAGGAGACTGAGGGGATGTTAAACGGATCCTGGATCAGAAGAAGGACCTTAGTGTGACAAGTGGCAAAATTTGAGTAAGATCTGCAGATTGGTTAATACTATTGTAAATGTTAATTGCCTGGTTTTAATGATTGTATTATGATTATGTTATATATTATATATACATTAGGGGTAAGCTGGGTGAAGGGTATACAGGAACTTTGTACTGTTTTTGTATCTTTTTTCAATGTTTGAAGTTTTTCAAAATAAAAAGTTAAAGACAAAACAAGCAAATAATATTCACAAACAAAAACAAAAGGTTTATATTACTCAGTTCTTCTTTGAATTTTTTATTTTTTAAATTTACAAATCATGTATTTATAGACAATTGATTTATTTCAGCGAGTTTAAGTAGGCTGGGCTTAGTGTATTAGATGGTTTATGGAGTTTCTAGGAGGACTGGGAAAGCAAGCATGTATACTTCATAGCCAGGACCATGTAACTAGGAGAAATTGACACTGTAACACCAAGGGACTTTTAGCAAAAACCCAGCTGTTATCTCTTTATACTCTTTGATACTGATGATACAATGAATTATACACTAAAATCTCTGCCAGAGCTTTCCTGGAAAAACCAAATGTCTTTACAACTGTGCTTGCCAGGAATTCTTGTCTCCTTGCATGCAGATACTGATCCTCATGTTGTTCATTTCCATTTTTTCAGTCTCATGCCAGTGTGTATTTTTTAGCAGAACGCATGTTGGGACACATGTTGATCCCTGCTGTGAGGAGGTTTGATTAATTTCCTAGTTCTGAACCTTCCTTGCTTTCCTGGAGTAAACTCTACTTGCTTATGTCTATTATTCTTTTATGAGCTTTTGGATTTTGTATTGCAAAGTTCATGTTCTTCTATTCTTGCCCACCTTTTGGGTTTAGGAATGCATAATGAAAAACTAAGAAGTATTCAGAAAAAAAAAAGGGTAGATGAATCATGTGTATAACTATTTCTGATAAATATCTTTAAAAAAATCTCTTTAAGATGGCAGCATATTATATACCTTAAATGTACACAATAAAATTTATTTAAACAATCTAGTTAAATAGGGTAGCTCTGCAAAGGTAATTCTAAAAGTATTTTATTTCCTTTAAACTACTGGGATTTGTTTAAAATTTATAAATATTCCCTCTGTGTGGAGAGACTGGGTAAGATGGCAAGTGGGGGATAGGTCAGTACAGCTTTCTGATAGTAATATCAATGAAATAAATTTTCTTGATTACTGAGTTTGGTTGTGTGACTGTGTGTAAGTTGTACTGATTATTGACAGAGGAGAAGAAGGATTAAAATGAGTAGATTTAATACACCAGAAATCTGACAAATATAAACTCTAATTTTTTTGTCCATTCTGAGCCTTTTTCAGCTTTTCAGCTTTGCTATGAACTCATACTTTGTTTAGGTAGCAAAAGACCTTTAGGTTGCTGTGTGTAGTTCGCAGAAGTGAAATATCGAATTAGAAGCAATTGAGGAGCTAATTTGGATCTTTATTAGTAACAGGGCAGTAGGTAGTGATTTACCTAAGACATCCTATGTTTGTTTTTGTTGAAAAATACTTCCATTTTTATGTTCTGAATCTTGATTCACTTTGTACTCTCTAAATTTGAAGATCTCTTTAGAAACTTGGTTTTTTAGAGCTTTTTTTTTTGGTAATGAGCCATTTATTTTTGTGCAGGTTAGGAAAGAATGCGTTTGAGTAGTTATTCATAATCTGATGTTTAGGAGAGTGGTATAGTGATATCAAAAATACTAATGCTTTTAATGTGGTCTTGTTTGTTTTTTCCCTTGGAAGCTGGTAGGAGGACAGTTTGATTTGGAAATGAATTTCATTATCCAAGAAGGTGAGAGTATCATCTGCATGGTGGACCTACTGGAAAAATGTGACATTACTTGCCAAGCAGAAGTCTGGAGCATGTTTACAGCCATTCTGAAGAAAAGCATACGAAATCTTCAAGTCTGCACTGAAGTAGGCCTTGTTGAAAAAGTGCTTGGGAAAATTGAAAAAGCTGACAATATGATAGCTGGTATGACTTTTTCTATAGTACAATGTATATTAAAAAATAAAGTTTGACTTTTAAATATGTATTTATCTTATTTCATTTAGTAACATTTATTTAAGAAATATTTGAGCAAGTAGCATGTACCTAGAATTTTAGTGTCCAAACTCTTAAGTACAGTATATTTTAAATTTTCAAGAAATATAAGTAGCTTAATTATTTTATTGTTTTCTTTTGTTTCCAGATCTTTTAGTTGACATGTTGGGAGTGCTGGCTAGCTATAATTTGACAGTTCGAGAACTAAAGCTTTTCTTCAGTAAACTTCAAGGAGATAAAGGACAATGGGTAAAAAACCTTAAATACTCTTTGATGTTTGAAATTGTCCCCTCCGCCCAACATATACTAGCTTGTACATAACTGATATTATCACATATGAGGTGAATGTCAAATTGAGGTGAGAAGATCAATCAAAATAGCATTTGGATCCGTATGCTTACTTTTGTTATGCCAAAACACAGGTGTGGACTAAGAGAATGGGTATTCCAGGCAAGCTAATATTTTGGTTTTCTTTGAATTGTTGTTCTTTAAATGTACATTCAACATCTGTTAGAGGAAAAAGGTAAGGACAGAGAAAGAAAAGTGTTGGGTAGCAGTACCTAACTTTTATTCAATTGATCTGAATTTAGCTGAGGCCCTTAAACTTGAACAATCCCGTCAGTGAACAAAAGCTCTGCCATTAATTGGATCCATCCTCTTTAGATGCATTTAGTGGTTCTTTGCAGTGGGTGTTGATGGGGGTGAACTTATTTTGAACCCCAGGTACCTTATCATACTGTTTCTTCCTGCCACTTAGTTAGCTGTCCCTTTAAGGACTACTAGTAAATATTTTCTCCATTTTTGTTGCCTTGCCGGGTTGAGTGCCCTTTAGAGATTATTGCCCATGGCAACTGCTCAGCAAGCTGATCTTTAATCTAGCTTTAAGTATATCTAAATTTGTGCCCTGCAATTACTCTTATTCAGTGTGTTAAAATTTAGATTCTTAGCTTCTTTGTGTCAAACTTCAGTTGTCTGGCTGCTTTTTAGGTTTTTATTACTGATTTTCATTGAATTTGATTATGTTTCTGGGTGTGGCTTACCTTATGTTTATCCTTATTAGAGTTCTTACATTTGTTTGTGGGTTTATAATATAATTGTTATCAAATTTGGAAAAATTTTGGTTATTATTTCTTCAAATATCATTTCTTGTTCCCCTTCCCTTCTTTTCTCGCACTCCAATTATAGATTTGTTAGACCTCTTGATATTGTCTCACAGATCACTGAGACCTGTTGACTTTTTTTTGTCTTTGTGCTTCATCTTAGATTGCTTTTTTTTGCTGTAGTCTCAAGTTAACTGATCTTTTCTTCAGCAGTGTGTTAATTCCATCCATTGAAAATTTCAGGTAGTATATTTTTTATGTCTGTAAATTCTGTATCTTCCATTTTTTCCTCATTATGTTCATATTTTCCTTTAAATCCTTGACAGTATTTAGCTTAATAATGGTTGCTTTAATATTCTTGTCTACTAATTCTATCATCTCTGTCATTTTCTAGGTCAGTTTTTTTTTTTTGTGGGGAGAGCAGAGCTTGCTCTCTGGCTCCCCTGGTACAGTGCGGTGGTGACATCATAGCTCACTGCAAACTCAAACCCCTGAGCTCAAGCGATCCTCCTGCTTCAGCTTCCTGAGTAGCTGGTACTAAAGGTGCATGCCACAACACCCAACTAATTTTTCTTTTTTTGGTAGAGATGGGGTCTCACTCTTGTTCAGGCTGGTCTTGAACTCCTGAGCTTAAGCAATCTTCCCACCTTAGTCTCCCAGAGTGCTATCTAGGTCAGTTTTTTACTTACTGCTTTTGTTTCTGTTTATAGGTCACATTTTCCTGCTTCTTATGGCTACTGAATTTAGGCATACTGGTATTATATGTAGTAAACTGTATGTTTCTGAGTGCTGGATTTTCGTGTTTTTTTTTTTTTTTTTTGAGACAGCGTCTCATTGTCACCTAGGCTGGAATGTAGTGGTGCCATTGTAGCTCGCTGCAGCCTCAGACTCAAACTCCTGGGCTCAAGCAATCCTTCTGGCTCAGCCTCCTGAGGAGCTAGGACTATAGGAATGTACCATCATGGCCTGCTAATTTTTAAAATTTTTTGGAGAGATAACTTCTCCCTATGTTGCCCAGGCCGGTCTCAAACTCCTGGCCTCACGTGATCCTCCTGCCTTGGCATATGAAACTGCTAGGATGATAGGTGTGAGTTACCACGCTCGACCTGTCATATTCCTTTTAAGATTCATAGACTGTTTTTGCAGGCAGATAATTTAATTGTGGATAAACTTTATCCTTTAATGTTAGTTTTAAAGTTTGTTTTTTTTTTCCCCCCCTGTCAGGTTTAGAGTAACTGTTACTCTAAGGCTGGTTTAGCCTTACTGTTCAGGCCTGGTGCCTCTAGAGTCTCTGTTCAATGATTATAAGTCTCAGACATGGGACAGGAGGTAGCACAAGACTGTGGTCTCTCCATAGTGTCTAGTAGGGTCTCAATTCTTAGTTCTGTATTAGTTCTGGGAATTCTTTAACTTACAGCTCTTAGTATCTTAGTCCCACTTGTTGAGTTTTATCACAGCATGAACAGTTTGATATTGAGCCAACTAGTCAATGCAGATTTCTGCAGCTGCTGCTTTTTATAGCTCCTTCCTCTACAGTATTCTGTCCTGGAACTTCTACCCATCTTGAACTCCCTGTACTCCAACTTCTGCCTCTGCAACTCAGTGAGACTTTCAGGTTCTGTTTAGTTTCCCTTTCCCAGTGCAATGATATGGAAATTGACTCCAGGTAGAAAGCAATTTTATTTGTTTCCCTTTCTCAAGGATGATGGTCTTGAGACCATCCTCCATGTCTGAAAACAGTTTCTGTTTCATACATTTTGTTTAATTTTCTAGTTTATCGTGGGTTGGTAAGTCCAGGTCTTGTTACTATGTCATGTCTAGAAAAGGAATATACTGTTTGGTTTTGATTTATATTCAGATAATTTATTCTGAATATATAATTAATACATTTTTATAATACTTGTAAATGTAGGAAATTATATGTAAGAAAATAGCAAAGGATGTGAACAGATATTTATTTACAGAAGTAGAATCCCTACAACCAAATAAACACAAAATCAATACTTAGAGACATTTACATTAAAACAATATCTGTATGTCATCCTACATCTATAGTTTCAGGGACTTTAAAGTTGGATAATGAAAAGTATAGTTGGGGAGATAGCATTATTTTATACCTGTATGCTTTTGGTTGGAATGAACACTAGTGGAACCAACTTCAAGAGGAGTCTAGTGCTACTTATTCACATAAATTATGCCTATATCCAATCACTTAATAATTTACTCCTGAGAGCATATTCCAAGAAATTCTCACATAGTTCCATAAGGAAATATACGTGAGTATGTTCACAGAAGCATTATTTTTTATGGCAATGAATTGTCAACGTGAGTGTTCATCATTATGAGAGTGGATAGGATGCACAGAATAGATTATTATATAGCAGTTAGAATTAATGTACAGAGTAATAGGAATGGATGCAAAAAATGTAGGAAGAAAGTAATAAACAATAATATATTTAACCTAACACCATTGAAATGGTAAGTACAAACACACAAAAACATTTTTGAAGGAACATGAATAAAAAGATTAAACATATTAATATAGCTGCTTATGGGAGGGGGAAGAGAATGAGAAATTTTGGAGGAAAAAGGGGAAAAATAATGAACTATTAATAAAACAAGAGCAAGGCTTTGCTCAAACCTATTTATTGCATTTGTTTAGCTATTTATTATTAGGCATTCAGTTTATTTGCATCTTTTGCTGGCATAGTACTGCAGTGAAAAATCTTAGTGTCTAAATCTCTATCTGCCTTTGTAATTTCCTTTAGCATAGATTTTTACATGTGGAAATAGTGCATCAGTGGACATGAATATTTTTAAAGTCTCTTGAAATATGACTATTAATTTATTTTCTGAAGGGCTTTCCTAGGACAATATACATTTCCCTAGCAGTGTCTGTGGAGTAAAGTGCCTATCTGAATGTATTCTTTTGTTGACTGGCTTATGGGAAAGGAAATTTGAGGGAATGATTTCTCTAGATGATAATGCTACAATACTGCACTTTTACTTTTTACTGCTGAATTGTTTCACTTTATTTCACTTTGTAATTTATTTTTAAAAAATCAGTGTGATTGCAGTTACTTGTTCTTATGTTTTTATAATTGAGCAGTATGGTTAATTGAAAATTTCTTGATCACTTATCAATGAAACTTTTTACTTAATATTTAGGTAAAAGGTTTCCAAACTCTTCTACACAATTAACAATGATAACTTATAGCAGCTACCAAAATATGATAGAGGCAAATCAACGATTTCACTTGTAATTTGACTGTGTTTTGAACTTTTAATAAAAAGGAATATCCTATACTTATTTTCTTATAAACTGATTAAAATGATAATGTGTATTTGATTGTACTTTGCTTTTCTTTCTAAACGTAAATGGGATTTTTCATTTTAGTTGTGGGTTGTTTCATATATTAGAGACTTGTGGGCCAAAGAAACAATAAAATGAATGTGATATTACAGCTTTTGTACATTCAATGCAGTAGAGGTATATTGTAGGATGAAAAATAATAGGGAAATTTAACTCACTGTCAGGTTCAGGCAAGACCGAGCTAGTACCCATTAAGATGAGCTCTAAACCTGTGGTTCCCAACCCCTGGTACTGGTCTGTGGCCTGTTAGGAACTGGGCTCAGCTCTACCCCCACCCCACCATCTATGGGAAGATTGTCTTCCATGAAACCGGTCCCTGGTGCCAAAAAGGTTGGGGACCGCTGCTGTAAAGGATGGGTAGAGGTGGCTCATGCCTGTAATCCCAGCTACAGGAAAGGCCGAAGTGGAAGGATTGCTAGAGGCCAGGAGTTTGAGACTAGCCTGGGTAACATAGCAAATCCTTGTCTCTAAAAAAATAAAAAAAAAATATTAGCCAGGCATGGTGGCATGCACTGGTAGTCCGGCTACTTGGAAGATTGAAGTGGGAGGATCATTTGAGCCCAGGAGTTCAGGGCTGCTAAGGTGAGCTATGATCGCACCACTGTGCTCCAGCCTGGGCAACAGAGCAAGATGTTGTGTCTTTAAAAAAAAAAAGTGCGGATAAGATGGGTGAGATTTACTTGGTTGAGAAGGGAATGGAGTAGGCTTATTGAGAACATTTTAAGCCAAGGAAGAGCTTGTGGTCAGGCCCTGTTGTGCGGAGAAGACTGAGAGAAGGCATTGTAGATGGAATACAGGGAAAGGGGAGGGTGAGATGCAAGATCAGACTTAAAAGGTAGATAAAGTATCTCGTAGGCCACGTTAAGGGTTTTGGCCCCCATTTTGATGGTGAAAATACAGACTTAATGATTTTTGGACTTTATGATGGTGGGAAAGTGATGTGTATTCAATATACTCCTTGACTTAAGATGGGCTACCTTGGGATAAACCCATTATAAGTAGAAAATGCATTTTTAATTTACTTTTTCAGTTTACCGTGGGTTTATCAGAATGTAACCTCATCGTAAGTTCAGGAGTATCAGCACAGTGCTTAAAAACATGGACTCTTCTTTCAGTGAGTTCTGATCCTGACCTTGCCAGTTAGTACCTGTGTGACCTTGGGAATGTTCCTCCACCTCAGATTCCTCCTCTGTAAAATGGGGGTAATAGTAATACCCTTCCATAGAGTGGTTAAAATATTTTAATGTTTTTAAAGTACCTTTAATAGTGGCACATTGTTTAAGTAAAAATTATGTAAGTATTTGTTAAAATAAAAAGTGTTCTAAAGAAGGGTAGGTTGATGTAGTTTGTAATTTTAAAAGATCATTTTTGCTGCAGTATGGAGAAGAATTTCAAGTGTCAAACGATATTGGCTCATATTTATTGGACACCTAATATGTCCTATAGTATTACAAAACAAGACATAGAATACATTATTTCTTTTTTTTCTCTTTTTTTTTTTCCCTATCAGCTCAGCTGTCTCCTGAACAAGAGTACATTATTTCTTTAAAATAGTTGAAAATAACTTTTTGTTAATTTATATGCTTTTAAGCTTATAGCATTATTTGGTTATTCTTGTGTATATTAAAATATAACTGTATTTAAAATATATATTTTCTGTTTTATGGTGAATAATGTGGTTGATGAATTGTTGATTATTTTCATAGCCTCCACACGCTGGGAAGTTGCTGTCTGTGTTAAAGCACATGCCTCAGAAGTATGGCCCTGATGCCTTTTTCAACTTTCCAGGAAAGAGTGCTGCAGTAAGTAAATATTATATTAATGAGGAAATCACTTTGAGTTCTCTTTTCCTTTGCTTCCTGAAAATAGAACCCTGTGAATACCCTGACAGACTCTGTGTTAGGGAGAAGCTTTTCTGCATGAGCTAACTTAAATCTTTGTGACAATTGTGTGTGCTACGTTTTCCTAACTGTTTTAGATGTGACAAAATAGAAGCTCAGAGTAATTGAGAAAGTGCTCAGTCATAGCTTGGCTCAGCAATCAAGTTAAGAACCCAGTTCTTTTAAACATAGCCATTTTGTTCTATGAATTTATCTCTCTATTCTTAATTAGCTATTAGTGTGTTAACACGTTCATATTCTATCTTTCTGAACATCTTTCTCTATCGTTATATATTTCCCTACCTCTGTTTCCTTTGTACGTGGTGTATACAATGATAATAACTCTTTGAAACTTATATGCAAGTTTTCCTAACTTGTGAGTTCCCAAATTATGTCAGTCTTAGCATTCTTGTAGGCTGTTAATCAGTTTATAAATTAGGCAATTATGTAGAGTAATGTTTCAAAATGTTATAGGAGCACATCATATAATGTATACATCTTATTTATGGAAGCTTTTTTATCTCCTCATTATTACATTGGTCAGTCTGTTACAAGCAAAAAAAGGATTTTTTTTTAAAAGCAGCCTATTCTTTTTCTGAGTTTATCTTTCGTTTGTTTTTTACTCTGGTTTTCATAAAATCTTGTTTGCTAGCCAGACAATATCTGCAGAAAGGTAAGAATGTGTTTTAAAAGGACATTTGTGATATTTCAATTTTAAATACACAAACTTTCATTGAAAAGTTTTATTGTTCATTCTTTTGCTTTACAATTTTTCCCTAAAAGACATTTTGTCTTTGAAGCTTTACAGAATAACTTTACTTTCTTCTCACTGAACCTATCATTTGCCTGTAACAAAAATTGTTCTCATGAGATTAACTTTTTTCATGCATTATGTTATGATTTTATTATTTACAGTTTCCTAAGAGTATATATACTATGTTCATTCTACTTATCTGCATTTATCTTGAAAGTGGGGCATTTGAGCTGAACAGCTTTTGAAATTTGTGAACAATAGGTATTTTCAATATATTTAGTGACTCATTCTTTTCCTTAAACATAGCTTTTAAAGGGAATTTAAAGTATTCATGAATAAAGTACCTTTACAAAGCTTTCATAGCTTCTCTTATTTTCAGTGAGAGAGAACACATGTACACACCAAATATGTATTCTTTTCTTTTTTTTCTCAATGCACCATTCATTTTAAATCAGCCTCTTGAAGTCTCAGTAGTGTTATTACATAAATTTGGCTCTATCATGTTTTTCATGTTTTATGGTGTATCTAATACATATAAATAAAAGAATAATATATGTGTACATATATGTGTACATAAATGCATATATAAATTATAATAAAACAAAAGCTTGTGTAGTTTGATTTTTTAAAACAGCTTTATTGAGCTATAATTCACATACCATACTGTTAACTCATTTAAAGTATATAATTTAATGGATTAATGTTCACAGAGTTGTACAGCCATCGCCACAACCAATTTTGGAACATTTTCTTCACTCCCAAAAGAAACTCCATAATCATTAGCAATCACTGCCCATTTTCCCCCAGTCCTCTAGTTGTAGGCAACCACCAATCTACTTTGTGTCTCTATGAATTTGTCTGTTCTGGACAGTTCATATAAATGTAATCATACACTGTATAGTCTTTTGTGATTGGCTTTTTTGCCTTAGCATAATGTTTTCAAGGTCTATCCATGGTGTATAGCATGTGTCAGTACTCATTCCTTTTTATAGCTAATATTATATGGCTATATCACACTTCATTTAATAATTCATCAATTAATGGGTATTTGGGGTTTTAGCTTTTTGGGCTGTTATGAAAAATACTGTTATGATCTTTTGTGTACAATTTTATGGGTGAATATATTTTTTCATTTGTCTTGGGTATCTACCTAGGAGTGGAATTCCTAGGTCAATGTGGTCTTTGTTTAACATTTTTTTTTGAGATAGGATCTCACTCTGTTTCCCAGGCTGGAGTACAGTGGAGCAATCACAGCTTACTGCAGCCTTGAACTCCTGGGCTCAAGTGATCCTCTTGCCTTAATCTTCCAAGTTGCACTACAGGCATGTGCTGCCATGTTTGACTAAGTTTTTTACTTTTTGTAGAGATGGAGTCTCGCTATGTTGCCCAGGCTGGTCTCAAACTCCTGGCCTCAAGTGATCCTCCCACCTCAGCTTCCCAAAGTACTGGGATTATAGGTGTGAGCCACTGCACCTGGCCTGTTTAACATTTTGAGGAACTTCCAGATTGTTTTCCAAAGTAGCTGTATCATTTTAAAATCCCACCAGCAATGTATTAGGGTTCCAATTCTCTACATCCTAGCCAACACTGGTTAATATCTGTCTTTTTTTTCATAGCCACCCTAGTGTGTATGGAGTAGTATTTCATCATGGTTTTGATTTGTATTTCCTTTGTGACTAATGATGTTGAGCATCTTTTCATGCCCTTATTAGACATTCGTATGTCTTTTTTGGAGGCATGTCTTTTCAGATCTTTTGCTCATTTTAAAATTGCATTTGTCTTTTTGAGTTGTAAGAGTCCTTTATATATTTTGGATGTAAGTCCTTTATTAGATACTCAATTTGCAAATATTTTCCTCCATTTTTGTGGCTTGTCTTTTCAATTTTTTGATGGTGTCTTTCAATTATAGTTTTAAATTTTAATAAAGTCCAACTTATATATTTTTCTTTTGTCACTTGTGCTTTTGATGTTGTAATTAGGAAGGATTTGCCTATCCAAAGGGCTCAAAGTCCCTATGCCAATACCACATAGTCTTTATGACTGTAGCTTTGTAGTGTGCTTTGAATTTGGCAGTATGAGTTCTCCAACTTTGTTCTCCTCTTTCAAGATTGTTTTGGCTATTCTGGATCCCTTCCATTATGTAGTATGATATTTTAAACCTATAACCGTGTGTTAAAGCCAATTTAAAAATGTTATGAACTAAACCTGTTCAGTTTTATATTTATAGTTAAAAAAAGCAGCATATACCAAGCTTCTTCTTCAACTTTTATCTTTCTAGCCCATCTTTCTCTGTCCTAATACCTTAAAATTTCAGCAACAAATTTTCAATTTGATATCACTACCTATCTCTTTTTATTGTCATCTCTTTGGATATGCTCATGCTAAGAAATTAAGCAGACAACATGCATGTGTCCAGCAGTTGTCACTGAATGTTTCTTTTATTTTATTAACATTATTGCTATGTATTTGGAAAAATTCAAAAGTTATTAAAGTCTTCCAGATAGTTTTCTTTCAGATATTTTAATAGTGACAAAGTAATATGATGTAATATATATAAATACATATAGCATTCTAAAGTCTCATTTTCATGATTTCGATAATAAGGTTTTTTTACATGAGTTAATAACTCAAAGTTTCTTCCCTTTAGGCTATTGCATTACCCCCTATAGCCAAATGGCCATACCAAAATGGTTTTACATTTCATACCTGGCTTAGAATGGATCCTGTAAATAACATCAATGTAGATAAGGATAAACCATATTTGTATTGGTAAGTATTTCTATAAACTGATGAGTGTTAATATCTTACTTTGAAAATGAGACGAATACTTAGAGGTAAAATGAAAACTTATTCTTTGTAGTTTCAGAACCAGTAAAGGTCTTGGTTATTCTGCTCATTTTGTTGGAGGCTGTTTGATTATAACATCAATCAAGTCAAAAGGAAAAGGCTTTCAACACTGTGTGAAATTTGATTTCAAGCCACAAAAGGTATGTGATGTTACTGAGTCATAGTTAGGTTAACAAGCTTTACTAACCTTCAAAATGCTTTGTTTTACTGTTATTCACATAACGAGATAAGTCATAACTCTGTTTATATAGTTTCAAAAAATCAAGTGTAAATCACTCAATAATGATTAACCTCTCTGATTTGGATAACAAAAAGATTTGATATTTAGTCATTTATAGAGTTTCGGGAAAATGTAGGGAGAAAATATCAATAGCAATTATTGTAGTAGTTCAAGTTTAATATGTTTTTGTTTTTGTACTTTAAAATTAAAGTTTAATCGATGGCTCATCAACAAAATGTATAGATAGATAAGTAGGCAGATTAAGCAAATATGGCAGAATGTCAATTGTGGAGTCTAGGTGGTCAGAAAGAAGGTGTTTTACTCGATTTTCTGCTTTTGGGGGGTATGTTTGAAAATTTTCATAATAGAAGCTGGAAAAATAATTTAGTGATTAAGTTCTTATCACTTGAGAGCCCCCATAAATAGATACTGTTCCAAAAGTTAAATGTTGAATTTAATAAAGGTATTCTTGTTTTATTTTTAGGTTTAATTATAACTTATTTAGTTTTTATTTATTATCTAAATGGCTGTGTTATTGGGAGAATCATTATCTTTATTATTATTATTGTTATTTTTTACTGCTTTTTGCTGCTTTAGTGGTATATGGTAACCATAGTGCACATTTATAACCGATGGAAGAACAGTGAACTTCGATGTTATGTGAATGGCGAGCTAGCTTCCTATGGAGAGATAACATGGTTTGTCAACACCAGTGATGTAAGTAGTTTTAGAATGTTGCAGTGGAAAAAAATTATTTTTAAAGCACGAGCTTTTTCGACAAGAAAAAATTTTAGAACTTGAATATATATTTTGGAAATAACCACAGTGGTAGATTTTTATAACCATAATTTGGGTAGCATGTTAATGTATTTATTGAATACAAGTTGTTGATGTGTCAGATAAGATATTACTCAGTCCTTGTTATAAAATTATTCTGGATAGAATAAAGATAAAGATTTATAGATACAGTGGCTATATCTTGACAGCATTTGGGTCATTGATCCATTTACTGAAATAAACATGAACTCCACTACAGAGCTCTAACCATTTTTTGAATGAGTTAGCTTACGCATACTTATACATTTTGCATATAATTCTAGCTGCTATAGATAACTATCATGTTATAATATTTTTAGGATTCAAAAAGAAATCAATAGGTTAGAATGAAATTTAAAAAGTTCTTATTTTTCTCCTAATTACATTCTTTTTATAGAAAACTTGAAAAATAAAGATCAGGAAAATGAACACAAACTATACTACCCATCCATTAACTCCTTTCATATCTTTTGTTATATGTATACACAAGTATTGCTGAATGCTTACCTTGAGGGTGTTGTATCAGACAGACTTAGGTTTGAATCTCAGCTCTGTCGTTTATTGACTATGTGACCTCATTTAATCTAGTAGGCCTTAGTTTTTTCCCACCTGAAAATGGGCAGAAAATACCTCAGAAGGTTATTGTGATGATTAAATGAGATAATGTTCATAAATCTATTAGTAGAGTACCTTGTACAGGATGAGTGCTCAATAAGCGTTAGTTCTTTTTTTTTTATTACAAAAAAGGGCTCAGATACGTATATTGTTTTATAACCTGTTTTTTCCGAAGTGCTTCTTTGTCTTCCAGCCATTGTAATAAGTTTATTTTCTAAAATTCTCAGCAATCTTGCAAGATAAGCACTATTATAATCTCTATTTTACAGATAAGGAAAGTGAAGCACAGAGATGTTAAGTAACCTGCCATGCTCAGGAAACAGGGATTTGACATAGGTGGTTTGGCTTGAGAACACAGTGTCTACAACTTTTCTGTATTTCCTAATGTCATTACATACACATTTCTCACCATTCTTTCTAATGGTGTCAGGATATAAAATGATACTCTTGAAGAGTCATGAAGAAATTTTCTTTTTTCCTTTTGCGTTGTACATGTAGGTTTTTAAAATGTCTTTACAACATGGACATTATCAGCAGGATTTTTTTTATGTTACAGAGAAACACATGCCAGCTTTTCTGGATTTACATATTCTTTTTGAGAGATTTGTGTCTATTCCTATGACTTTACCCATTATCTATACATTGATGTCTGCAAAAGTTTGTCTTTGGTTTTAACGTCTCCCCAAACTTACAGAACCCTGTTGACAACTGTTTCTTCATCCACATAAACTCCATCTGTAATTAGCTCACAGAAAATTTGGTCTATATCCAAAGCTAACTCACTATTTTCCTCCTTGCTCCAAAGCCTGCTTTTCTGTCTGAATTTTTGGTTGCCCAACTATGAACCTTCAGAGCCATAATGATTTCAGACTTCTTTTTTACATCCACCTTATTATCAAGTTTTGTTTACTGCAATTTAGAAAACTCTTGTTTCCGTAATGTCTTTTCTGATCTCTACTCCATAGGGGAATGAATGAAATGAAGTGCTAAATGAATTATTAATATTTTAATCTGTTCAGATATAGTTTAGGATGGAAAAAATATTTATAGCAATAAAGGTTTTTATTATTTCTGGAGTATATATATGTCTATTTTTCTAATAAAATCTTTTATTTTCTTTCACAGACCTTTGACAAATGTTTCCTGGGCTCATCAGAAACAGCAGATGCTAATAGAGTATTCTGTGGTCAGATGACTGCAGTTTACCTTTTCAGTGAAGCTCTTAATGCAGCTCAGATTTTTGCTATTTATCAGTTGGGCCTGGGATACAAGGTATGTACTTACTATTCACTGCCTCGCCAATGTTAGTTGAGCTTGATTTGAAGGTGGGTTATGCATGTGGAAATCTACTTGGGTTACCAAACTATATGTTAAGGTAACCAGGAACACCACAAGGAAGTCACAGGGGTCTGAAGGGTACCAGTTTTTGAGGGAAACTTATGTGGGGCATTGCACAAACAACTAGTTCAAGTTTTAACTTTAGTTTGTGTGGCATTTCTTTTGATGATGTCATATCTTTGCACAGCTAAGGTTTTGATAGTTGCTGTGATAAAAAATTAGTACCATGTGAAAATGTGGAATAGGAAATGAGTATGGTGGTATTAGAGTCTGACTCCAAGGTTTGAGAACTTGTACAGTGCCTTAGATGCACATACATCCCATTAATAAATAATTTTGCCAATATAATAATCAAGGAAACATGTTAATTTTCTATCAACTTGTACATGTATTTTTTTAAATGGTTACTACATTGTTAGAATATAAGGTTATTTGGACCAAGCTATTTATGAATAATAAGTAGAAATATTCATTATTTATTTTGGTAAAGAGTTTCATGAAAAAATTACTGAGATGCTAAGAGTGTCATGAGCCAAAAAAATTTGGAAACCTCTGGGTTCAGCCATTGATAGTCTCAAGTTTGGTTTCAGGGAAAAATTTAATGTCTGCTATGTTCCTTTGAAAACCAAATCAACTTTTAAAAGTTGATTTACATATCATTTATAGACAATATAAAGTGTAAACATTTTAATTAATTTTGACAAAAGTATAACTACCACAACAATCAAGAAATAGATCATTCCATCATTGTGAAAGTTTTCATTGTGCTCCTTCCCAATCAATTGCTTCCATTACCCTAACTCCAACCCTTTCTATCAGACAAGCAACCACTGATGTAATTTCTGTCGATAGATTAAATTTGTTTTTCTTAAGGTTTTATGTAAATCATGCAATATGTGGTCCTGTGAGTTTTGTTTCTTCTCAGCATGTTTTGAGATTCATCCATGTTGTTTTGTATTAGTACACTTGTTCCTTTTTATTGCTGAGTAGTATTCCATTGTACAAATACAGCACATTATAATCCATTCATCTGATAATGGACATTGGAGTTGTTTGCAGTTCTTGGCAGTTATGATTAGGCTGCTATGAATATTGGCGGACATATATTCTTCTTTGTGTGGACATATGTTCTTCTTTCATAAAGACCTAAGAGTAGAATTGCTGAGTGGTATGGTAACCAAAATGATCAAACTCTTTTCCAAAGTAGTTGTGTACTTTTATATTCCCACAAACAGGATATGAGATTTCTCTATATTTTCGTTAACACCTGGTATTGGCACACTTTTTAGTATTAGACATATGAATGACTGTGTAGCAGTATCTCATCATGCTTTTAATTTGTATGGTTTTATTGACTAGAAATGCTGAGGACCTTTTCTTTGCTATGGGCCATTTGTGTATCTCTGTGAAGTGTGTGTTCAAATCTGTTGCTCATTTTTGGGTTGGGTTGTTTGTTTTTTTATTAATTGAGTTTTGATATTTCTTCATATAATCATATAATAGATATATGATTTACAGATATTTTTCCCTGGTGTACGTCATAGTTTTTATTTTCTTAATATAATGTTTGAAGAGTAGAGGAATTTAATTTTTATGAATTCCAATTTATCAAAATTTTTCTATTATCAGCATGCTCTTTGTATCCTAATAAATATTTACGTACACCAAGGTTGGAAAGACTTTTTCATATTTTCTTCTAAGTTTTAAAACTTTAGCGTTTACCTTCAGGGCTATGATACATTTTGAATGAATTTTTGTGTATGGTGTGAGGTAAAGGTAAAAGTTAATTTTTCTTTTTCATAAGTGCTATGGTCTGAATATATGTGTCCCTCACCCCTCGCAAAATTCATATGTTGAAACCTAATCCCCAATATGATGGTATTAAGAAATGAGGCCTTTGGGAGGTGATTAGGTCATGATGGCTCCACCCTCATAAATGGGATTAATGCCATTATAAACGAGACCTGAGGAACCCTTTTGCCCTTTCCTCATTATGAGAAAACATAGAAGGCACCATTTATCCCTCACTAGACACCTAATCTGTTGGTGTCTTGATCTTGGACTTCCCATCCTCTAGGACTATGAACAATAAATTTCTGTTGTTTTTAAATCACCTAGTCTAAGATATGTTGTTATAGCAACATGAATGGACTAAGACAATCAGGATACCCTGGCGTTCTTTTACAATTTTTTTGGTAAACAGTATTCTTTCTCCCTTGTATTGCCTTGTCATCTTTGAGGCTCTATTCTATTCCTGACTTGTATGTCTTTTCTTGCACCAATACCATACTCTCTTGATGATTGTAGCTTCATAGTAAGGTTTGGAAACAGGAAGTTTAAAACCCCAAGTTTATTAGTCTTTTTCAAAATTGTTTTGGCTATTCTAAGCCCTTTGCATTTCCCGACATATTTTAGAACCAGCTTATCAATTTCCACAAAAA